TCACGCCCATCAAAAGGCCTCTGTCCTGTTGACATTTCAGCCATGATTACGCCGAAGCCGTAAATATCAGCTTTTTGCGTAAGTTTATCACCCAATAAAACTTCCGGAGCCACATAAGGCATAACACCACAAATTTCACCTGAAATAATTTCATCATTCTTTCTAGACAATCCCAGATCAGCAATATAAGATTGCGCACTTTCATTATTGTGTTTGTCTTGTAAAATATTACCACTGTGAAAGTCAGCATGAATATATCCCGCGTATGTGTGAATATAATATAATTCATTTGAGATATCTTTAAGTAATTGTAATTTAGCCTGCCAAGTAAGTTCTCTAAAATTTTTTCTTAAATATTTATAAAGATTTCCTTTATTAGCATATTGAAGAACTAACATATATTCATTTGTTTTGGTATCTTGGGTTATTCCATATTAGAGTTGTTGGTGAAACTAAATTAAGCTAGTGAAACTGGTGACTATCTAAAATCTGATTGGTTGTTCAGCTAAACAACCAATTAGATTTTAGATAGTCACCAGTTTCACCAGCTTAATTTAGTTTCACCAACAACTATAGTTATGACTAACTCTAACTACGTCAGCTCACGTGTCATTTTAAGTATACACATGTTGGCCAATCAAAAATATAACATAGGTAGATATGCGTAATTCGAATAATTTTTTTGCATTTATTATAGTTTGCTACAAAATGATGTATTTTTAATCAGATCTCTAGAATCATAATTACACAATGATCACGTTCTTTGGGAAGGACCAATCAAAAATGTTAAAACGGACAATAAAAATTGCATAACACAAATAACAAAAAAGTAACTTTTGCAGGTGGTTGACATACGATACGCTCTTAACATATAGCGATAGATTATAATCAAACCAATAATTAAGCAATAAGAATAAAATGGCACTAATGAATATGTTGTATAAAGAAAATTTTTTATTAAACCCTTCTTACGACCTATAACCATTATAATTGCAAAATATTGAACGGAATATATGATAATATATGAAAATTATTTCATATATTACATTTTGGACACTGCATTACCCACAATAAAACGAGCAAAAATAGCAAGCGAGTAAGCTAATGACAGATTCCTATTAGATGTTTTAAAAAAAAATTAATAGGATAAATCTAAATAATTATTTAAAAAATTTTAATGATGAAATAAAGAAAACAAAACATACTCCTTTTTTACGTTCGTTTTGTCGCGTTGATACTATAGTTTTAAGATAAGATATTTTAGCATCGTTGTCATTAAGATTATGATAAAATGCTGCACTATCTGGAGTCAAAGTATCATAGGCCTTCTGTAATTCTTCCGATAGAACCGGCTGTTTATTTTCAGTAGTCATAGTTGTAACCTCTACTACTTTGGATTTTGATTTGGATGTGGATTGTTCTATGACATCTAAATAATAAAATGTCTTTAGTAAACCTCCCAAGATCCGTTTATACGATATAAATAATTGATATAAACCTGTCTATCTTACCTTTCTGATTATCCGACATATTTGCTGGTATATACGAGAGTAAGTTTAAACAAATATTATTAAAGAATTATTATTTGAACGAATTTATAGTGCATGAAAAAAAAAATGATTACGTACGTACTGTACGTATAAAGATAATTATCGTGATGAGACCTTCTGAATTATTAAACCTTTTTAAATTTTACTTTTGCCTTTAATCTTCTCTTCTAATTATTAATAATTAATTATTAATTGACAGAGTTATTACTTTACAGAAACCTTAGTTTTTTGCAAAATATGTTTATCATATTATTATTATATAATTATTATATATTTATAATATT